AAAGCATTCTGGGAAGAGATGCTGTCAGTATTACAAGATCTCCTTCAGGCAAGCCTGGGGTGTGTGGGCTTGTACATGAACAGCCAGGTGAAGCATCATGTCCCACAGTATACACGGTTAATATTCTCTCCCAGCTCTGTGAGCTGATCATTTCCATGCATCTTCATGTATCCTCTAGTTCTGGGCTTTGTGTGCATCAGACTTGGTTATAATTCAGAGATGCCAGCTCTGGCTGATTCTTCTTTGATAAAAAGAAACATTAAGCAAGGAATGGATCTGAGATTCTTAACCTCATTTTTCCCAAGTATACGTATCCTTAGGAAAGAAAGATTAACTCATTTCTGTTTTACCACGATCTTTTTTTGCTTAGCATTCCTGGGCAGGAACGCTATCAGATCTACACGTGCATCAATTTCCACAAGTACGCCAAAATAATCTTCTGTGTGGTGAGTAAAGTATTCAGGCACTTCATCCTTGGCTTGGCTGTCAGTGGGGACATTTTTAGTTCCATGTGAATACCACAGCTGGTTTTGAGAACACTTCCTCTAGTGTGTATTTCTGGTGCATTCCAAGGAGTCTTTTGGGGTAGATTTAGGCTGTTAAATCCTCTCCATCATTTTTTATCTACTTCAGCACTTTCCACATTTGCAAATGCAGAATTAAATGGCTCGTGAAATATCTTGTAACAAATGAAGATGACAATACAAAGTAATGTAATAAGCTATTGCTAATATCAGATACCTGTATGCGTAATAGTCACTGCGCGTTGTGGAATAAAAATGATCAAAATAAATGACACTTCTTAACTCAAGGGATAAATTATGCCACAGGTAAGATGCTAAACAGTGAAAAAGAAGAGATTTATCTAGATGGAAAAGTTCAGCAACGTCAGCAACCCCTGCTCTTCTTTGGGGTTACAGGCAGTATTCAGAAGGAATAATTATAGCTGGGGGAAAAAGCTCAGAAGGTCTATTTAGATCAGTGCTTTTGAATTCTTCAAGCCGTGTCTGTATTATATGGAATGACTTAAAGGGAGACTGGTTTAATTTCTAATATTCATTTTAATTTTTAGAAGAGTAAAATTTTGCAAATAGGCAAAAATCATCTCAGATACTTCTGTAAACACCTTTCTGTTACTATGCTTTTCTAAACATTGTTATGCATTCCACTCACAGCTAATAAATATCCTCTTTGGACAGGGGATGTGGTGGCCTGCGGAAACTTCCCAGCATCTTTAGAAAGCAAAGTCAAGGGATTTTTTTTTGCCAGCAGAAATTGTAAGAGAGGGGTATGGAGGTGGAGTGCAGTTGTCTAAACTGACATTGGGCAACAGTGTTGAGCAAAGGCTTTGATTCTTGCAGAGAGGGATAAAAAAGTAGTACAAGTGGATTTTGCAGCTCACATAAAGCACTGCTCTCCAAGCAGCACATCTCTTTCTGTTGTTGCATTCAGACAACCTTCGTTGCTGACTTGCATGAGCTGCATGACCTGGGGCAATGGGCATTTTTATCTTGAGAGATGTCTCATCCAAATATTGGTCTTGTACAATATAATCTGAAAGAAGACTATAACCTAAAATTGGATGGCTCCCAGAGTGCATTCAATTGCTGAGACAAAGGCAAAATCTGTCAGTGTCCATTTAAGACTGGACCAAGGACATGAGTGGGTTTGGCCCCGCAGGTGCCCTGCGGGAGTACATTACATTATTTTCTGGAGTTAGCTTTAGGTAGGTCATTCTGCTTTCTATCTTCCATGTTGCCTTGCACATCTATCATGCCTTATACAGGGAAAATTGTTGTTTATCTTCTGGTAATCTGAACTAACCAGAGAAGATTTGGAAAAAGTTTCAGAAGTAGAGATTCTAACAGCAGAGACGTTGCTAGCGAGATCTTTGGCATGTATGGATTGCCATTGCTGCACTGACTTCTAGAGATGAACTTGATTATAAATGCAGAGCATGGATCTGCCTCAGTATTTTACTGGTACCCATCCATAGAATGGCAGGACAGGTCAGAAAAGTGAAGAACTGCCTGCCGGGTCATGCTTTTCTTCTCACTCTGCTGGTAGCAATCTCTCCCTTGTAACATCCATCCTGTTAAATTCATTCTCTGGGTTTACGAAGTCATAGGATCCCTTGCTTTCTATAATTGTTTCAGTCTCTTCCTGTGCCTCCTCTCCTATCCCGTATATGATAAATGTTAGGTGTTGGTGATACTTTCCATGTAGCTTTCTGTATTTTTCATCATAGGAAATCTAAAAAAGAGGTTGATTCTCAGCAGTGAAGGCTGGTCCTCTCTCAGGCAATCTGATCGCTCTTTTCCCACTCCAGTGCTTGGACAGTGAGGCCCCAGGCTTTGTGTATGGTTCAGCATTTCATAAGATGCACACCTGGGATGCAAAAAAAAAAAAAAAAAAAAAAAAAGGAAACGCTATTCACTTTTCATCTTTCACAGCAATTTGGGGTAATCTGGGATTTAATTTATTCACCAGTTGAAAGGGAAGCGGAAATCAAGCCAGCATCTTTCTTTTGAGCCAAGCTCTTTCTTGAGTACCCTGTGGAGGCTCACACAAAAGAGCTCTGATCACTCTAACTAGGTGCTTGTTCTAATTATGGAAAGATTGAGCATTGCTTACAAAATTGCCCACCGCACTTCAGCACATGGCATTGTTATACTACAAAAGCTTTTTTTTTTTTTTTTTTTTTGTCCCTAGCAGACCCAGCATCAGCCTGTTTAGTGGAGAGCTGCAAGGAACAGAATTAATGTGAAGGAACCTCACACAGATTTTCCAGGAGAGGCTGGCAAAGTCAGGAGCTGACCTGCGGCTTTGTTGGGAACGCGGCCGATGCCGTGATGGAGCAGTCAGAGCGGGGCGTGGGCTGGGCTGTTCTTGGACATCCTGGGTAGAACCAGCGAGCTGTGATCAGGACTCAGAGGTGGTGCTGGGGACGCAGCCCCTGTTTCAGATCTCTTCGATGCAGTAGGGTGATAGCTTCTAAATAGGCACTTCACTGCTATGCTCAACATCAGCCTCAGCTGTGGAGGTGGTGAATATGCTAGCACAAACATCTAAGTTCTGCCTTTCCTAAGTTGTGGATGCTTTGTTTCTTAGGAGAATGTTTGCCAGTAAGCCCACGTTGTGCAGGCATTTATGTCCATGGGGACGAGTAGGAGAAGAAAAAAAGAAAGGAACTCAAAGGAACAGCCAATACCCTCAGTATTGTTGGGATCTTTTAGGGAAGTCTTTAATCTAGCATTGTCTCGCAGCCAGGGCACAGCTGGGCAGGCTGCCTTCGTCATGGAAGAGAGATGGGCATCAAGGTATGTCCTTGAGCATCGTGGTCAATTACTCCTTCCTCAATAAACTTAAATCTTTTGCTTTGTAATCGATGTGTTCCTAAATCCCTCTTTACTCCCGGCTGCCTTTGTGTGCAACTGTATCCACGCAAATACGAACACAGCGTGGAGGCACGTTACTGAATTTGTCGTCGTTTCCAGAATCCCGTTGGGGACAATAACTCAAAGAACTGTCGCGCTCCCCCTCCGCGCGGTTGGGCCGCTTCCCCCCAACTCCCTTCGGGCGGTGTCACCCCGCGGCCCTCCGCCCGGAGCTGGGAACTACGCGTCCCGGCGTGCCGCGCGGGGAGCGCCGCGCCATGTGCGAGGCGCGGGGGGAGCGGGCGCCGGGTGCTGCAGAGCCGGCGGGGCGGTAAGTGCGCGCTGCCCGCTGCGGGCGGCAGAGCGGGAGGGGCGGCGGGGCCGTTCTCCGCGCCCCTTGGCGGAGCTCCTCCCGCTCGGTCGCCCGCCGGGCCCCCTCAGTGCCGGGCCCGGTAGCTCGGGGTTGGTTGTGGGCCTGAAGGACGCGAGCGGATGTTCTTTTGGAAACGGCGAGCCGTGTCGCTGCGTGCGTGTTTTGGTCACCAGGCTTCTGAGAGAAAAGGCACGAGCCGGTGACCTGCTAAAGGGGCACAGTGAGGAGCAGGAAACTTTCTGGAATGAAGGGAATTAGTGCAGTCCTTCTCCACGGGGTAAAAATCCTGCACTCTGTCAAAGGTGCTCTTGAGAGCTTGCAGAGTGAGGCAGCCATCCGTGCTGCTCGATTCAAGGTGTAAGCAGAAAGACCGCTCAGCTGTTTTCTGTCTGACAAATAAGAGGAAGGAGAGGAACCTACCGCTGATCCGTAGTTTTTCTTTCAGGTTTAAATCCTGTAAAGTGACAGAACGAGACAAAAAAAAAATGTCGTATTTTTAATGAACAACATGCTTGCACTACCTGGCACACTGTAAGTAAGGAATACAGTGCTGCAGAGTGGTTCGTGTGGTTGACGGCTTCATCCCTGCCCACATCTTCCAGAGGAAGGGGGTGAGGAAAGAAGTGATGCACCCCAGGCCCATGGTTGAGCCAGGCCTGGGCTGTTGGTACCTGCATTTGTCTGTTCTGCCAGTGCATTCCTAGCCTGGTATTTGGATGAGTTGATGGAAAAGCAAGTTTCACTCACTTGGTGACTGATCAGGACCCCATCCCCTGTGTTGGATGCAGCTGTCTGGAGCCACAGGCAGGGATGCATCACGTCTTCTTTCCAGTGTTCATCAATACTGAGGAGCTTTCACAAGCAGCCCAGCAGTTTCCAATCAGTTTTGGGCTCTTTTAATATTGTTAGAACTTTCTTTAAACTCTGCTTTTTTAATTCTTCTAGTACACCCTTACAATTTCACTATGCTGTGATACCTTCAAAACATTTGCAATGGGGAGGCAGCCTATTCCTATAATAAAGAACTGACTTATGATGAGCATATGCTGCCTTTTCTCTGTCCACCTGTTGTTTCTTGTTGTAAAATGTTTGGGACCATGAATAAATCTTCTGTGGTGGATATGCAAAATCTAGCCCACTTCTGGGTTAGTGGTCTGTAGGCACTATAGAATTAGAAAAAACAGTGAAGTCAGAGCAGCTTGCATTTGGCTGCTTTGTGGTTGCACAAGCTCTTAACTGGGGGTAGTGCTGGCAGCGCATCATTAGCAAAGGAGCAATTAAAACTTGGGTAATCAGATCCCTCCAGGTGTTACTATGTCTTTCTCTGATGTAACTGTTGCTGTTTTGTGTTTCAGCAGGGTTCACCAATCATGGCAAGGAGGGCCTTGAAACTTGCCTCCCTGGCAGCAGCTGCTTCTGGCATCTATCTGTATGGCAACAAGTTCATGGATCCCAACGATTTTGGAGTTGTTCGTGTGGGCCGAGCCATTGCCACAGTAAGTTTCATAGTACAGAAAGATTCCTAGAGGGGGTTCAGAGATTCGGAGTTCACAAATACTTGTGATTCTATACAGACCCTTTCTTTCAGTTGCTAACTAGCTCCAAGAGTCAGCAGGTCAGCCAGGAGCTCCTCAAGTTGTTGACACAGTGCAGGGAAGGGAGGTGAAAGCATAGAAGGAATAGATCTGCACATTTTGGAAAGAAATGAATGGAGATACTGGGCTGCAGAGCGCAGTCTTTGTTTCCCTGCATTGTGTGGGACCTTCAGAACAGCAGGGCTCACACATCTCCATCAGCCACCCTTCAAAGCCAGTTATGCAGTTATGATCTCCTGGACTGGTTTCCAGATTCATAAGATAAACCCTACATCTTGCTAGCATGACTGCTGTTTCACCCTATCATCTCAGCTATTCCTCAGTTGTGTTGATCACAGCTTCAGAAGACCTGAGAATGAAGTCTGCCAGCTAGCCAGTTCATTGCCTTCTCCTTGACATTCATTGATGAATCCATGAGCCGCCAGAAACATGGAGAACAGAGGCTGGAGGGGTATCAGTCACCCTGTACCTCACTTGGATTATGCACCTGTCACTTTGGGCCATAATCTCCATCATTTATAGACCCCCCAGTGCTAAGCAGCTGTCTGTCTGCATATTCTATGACTTTTAAGCACTTCATAAATGAGTTGTACAGGGAGTCAGCTCCTGAGGGCAGATGCAGTAAGAAACAAGCTCTGCTGGTTGGCTGAGGTGCCATGCTGTTTATATGTGCAGGCTGCACAGGCTGCACTGTGAACAATTGTGAAAAAATTAGTGTTTATTTTGAAAAGAAACATTTAGATGTTGTACTGAGGGACATGATTTAGTAGGGAAATATTGGTGATAGGTGGACAGTTGGACTGGATGATCTTGGAGGTCTTTTCCAGCCTTGATGATTGCTGTAATGGAAGTGCTAAGTCACAGCCTGAAGCAGTGATTGAGCACCTGATGGGGAGGCAGGGCCAACCCAGAAGAGCTCAGGTGCATGCAATACACCTGAATGACTGAAGGAGGTGGAGCCAGGATCCACCCCTTCCCAGACCTCATTTAAGAGTTGGCAGTGGAGGCAAAAGTATTTTGCTGGAGATCCCTGCCTACATGAGGCCTTCCAAAGGTAAATAGCTTTTTTCCTTCATTTCTGTGTCTATGGCTGCTGTGTTTTAGGCTTATCCTCATTTGCTGTAGTTGAAGACTTTGCTACCCTGCTATTATTGCTGTACTTTCTATCACATTATGGTATTACAATTCTGTGATTCTAAAAGAGTGAGGGCTGAAATACAAATCTTAATATTTTCTTCTTAAAATAAGTACTAGGCTTTGTGCTCTGTCCCTAGCTATAAGGCAGCATAGCCTGGTGGTAAAGAGCAGCTTCCTCCCCTTTTACTGCCCATGAAACTGAGACCTGAAGAGGGAATGTATCTTACTGTGATTGGGGAAGTCTGCTATCTGGGCTGTTTGGGCAGTCTAGTCTGCCCGTGAGTTCTGCCTGAGTTCTGAAAAGTGTTCATTTATCTTACTTGTAATCAGCGTTTTTTTGTGACTATCATCTGTTCAGGACAAAAAACAAGTGAGAAGTATGCAGTAAAGAGGCTGCACAGTTGGTCTGTGTTTTAATTGACAAGGAGAGGCTACATTCTTGAAGAACAGGAAGCAGGAGAGAGAAGATTTTCTTTGCACCCATTGCAGGATGGCTTACGCTGTCAGGGACCTTTGGATTCATCTGCCTTAGCTTCTGATCGAGTAGGGATACCCAGAGCAGGCTAACTAGTGCCATGTCCAGGTGGCTATTGAAGATCTCTAAGGAAGAGACTCCACAGCCTCTCTGAGCAGCCTGTGCCAGTGCTCATCCTCACGCACAGGAAAGAAGTACTGTCTGATTTTTTTGTTTTTAGTTTAAATGCTGCCAAACCTAAAAACGTGCTTGACTTTCACATTCCATGCCTTCAGTAAAGTTACAAGTCATAGCCCTTTGCTGGCCCTGCTTTTAAATCCATTTGAGGGTTCTGCATCCATTGCTGCTAGAAGTGACTTCACCAAAGTACTGCCGATGCTCTGGTGGCAGAATGTGTTTATATCTGTGTGTCTGTATATTGTTCAAACAGGAATTTTCTGTTTCTTTTGGAATCCTGTTGCTTTAATGTATGGGACTGTATATGGTCAGATTTGTCATAAGAGATTCTTCATTTCTGCTGCATCAGTGATCTCTACCTTTCCACTTTGAGATCTGATCCTCACTTGGAAAGTCTGGGATCTGCTCTAATCTGAGCTTGCAGCGCAGACTGGTCTAATTTCTGGACCGCAGAGAGGCTGAATCTACTAGAGTAATTATACATGTTTGTTTCCTGGGCTTGCTCATTTTGTAAATGAAAACTGAGGTTCTGTAGCAAGCAACTTTGGATGTTGGTGGAATCTATGTAGACCTAACCTGTCTGTCCTTTGATCTAGTTCTGGCCAGGTTTCTTAATCATTGGACCATATCCAACCAAAAGCAGGCTGTATGTGAAAGACTGTAATTCGTGGTATGATAGAATAGCTTAAGTTGGAAGAGCTCTTAAAAACCATCCAGTTCCAAATCCCTGCTGTGGTCAGGGTTGTCAGCCACTAGATCAGGCTGCTAAGGGCCCCATCCAGCCTGGCCTTGAATCCCTCCAAGGATGGGGCATTCACATCACCCTCTGAGTAAGGAATTTTTTCCTAACAGCTAACCTAAATCTCACTTCTAGTAGTTTTGAGCCATTCCCCCTGGTCTTGTCACTGTCAGATATTATAATGAAGTCCCTTCTTACATATAGGCTTTCCTTGAGTACTGTAAGGCTTCAACGAGATCTTCCTGGTGCCTTCTCCAAGCTGAAGAAGCTCAGCTCTTAGTCTTTCCTCGTCAAAGAGGTGCTGCAGCCTTCTGTATATCTTTGTTTTCTCCTGTGGACCTACTGCAACAACTCTGCGTCGTTCTTGAGTGGAGGCCCCAGACTTGGACATAGGACTCCAGATGGGATCTCATGGGGGCAAAGTAGATGGGGATAGACACCTTCCTAATAATTAAGAAGTGAGTTTTGCAGCAGCAGATGAAAAAATCTAAGATAGGGCGTGGTGTTAAAAAAAAAAAAATCCTAGAAGAAAGGATGCATGGTTAGGAAAGCTGAGTTGTAACTATAAAACTTCAGACAAATTTCATTTGAGATAGATTAGAAAGATTTGAATCTGCTTGTACTTAATGCACAGTGGTTCTGTAGTCCTTTGCTGATCTTCTTAGAAAGTTGATGAAGTTCCCAGTTGGTGGGAGAACTGGCTTTTGTTTATATGTGGATAGACAAGTGAGGAAACATTGTGCCATGATTTGGTGAGATCTGAGGATAGTTTTAGGAGTGGTGGGAAGAGCGTAAGGAGTTGAGAGTCAGTAGAATCAAAATGGAAGGCCAAGCCTTTGGGACATTTAATAACACTGGGCTGGATACATCAGTTAAAGTAATCTGGCATTGGAGAGGGGAGGGACCAGTTATCTTGTACGTCTTTTTCTGTCTCTGAGATTCAGTCTCACTCAATGTGAACGATGGCACTATTCTTGGTTGAGAATGAATTCGGTAGCCTGGACAGCATCATGTTTCAGACAGTTTTCAGTGTTCTGATAAAGTCAGAAGCCTGGCGGAGCCATTTTTTTGCCATATTTCTTTGAGGGTAACCCAAGTTGTTTTGGGTATGTGAAATGAGCACTGTGCTGTAGCTGGAATATTTCTCACACAGTAACAGGGATTTGGCAATGTCAGTGTTGCCTATCAGGATCATCATAAGACTAATTTAGTGTTTAAGATTATGATGTAATTAGCAAATAGTTAATTAATTCCCTCGTCCTCTGTAATACAGGCCAATCTGTTAGCTGCTTCTCTTCAAGTTGGAGGTGATAATTACCCTCATGGACTAGAGATAAAATACAAACCAACTCAAGCATTCATGCAAGACTGATTTGAACATCCTTTCACTTCATAGTTGTTGCTTGAGGTTGGAAAGATACTTTGAAAAATTTTTCTTTTGTATGCGTGTGTCTGTGTAGCTGTGCACCTTCTGAATTCATCAGGGGCAAGAGAGCCTGAAAAAAATTTTGGTTTGCTCAGTTTCTAGTCTGGAAAACAGGAAACCTAAACTCCACAGGGAAAAAATACATCTATTTATATCTGATTCCTAGCTGGATTTCCTCGTGGATGCATCTCTGAGCCTTTGACTGTTGTTTTGTTGACTTTGTTTTGAAACAAATATAATCTCCCTTTTTGCCTGACTCTCCTGATCTACTGGTTGTGCTTTAGGTGTTTCATCTGTGCCTTTCCTAAGCACGTGTGCTGTGAAAGAAGGCCAAGTATCCCATTCCATAGTGAGATGCTACCCCTTTGTTAGGGAGGTTTTAGGCAAACTTTAGATCTGTTATATGCAAATGTTTCTTTATGGCAAGGATCTTAAAGTTTAAGTGACATTCCTTTCTCTCCCTCCAAGTAAATTTTCAGGCATGAGCTGTGTTTTTCTGTTCCATTTGCTGGCCTGACTGTGGAAAGAGGAACTTTAGTCAAAGGTTAAAACTGTGAAATACCCAATATTCATTTTCAGAAATTAAGGCATTTAGGAATCTCATTTTATTGTCTGTGGCTATGTCTAGCTAATAAGCTTTAGCTGGTTCTCTATACTGTACTTTTGTAATTGGGTATCTGACCCTTTTGCCCTCTAGTCCTTCATGAAGTTGAGTATCCCTGCCAGTACTACTGCCTGTGGTTATCAGTGAGCTTGTGTTAAGCCGCTCTGTTTCCCTGCTGAGTCATCTTTCCAGACTGAGCTCCCTGTGTACCAATGTGCAGTTAGACAAGCAAAAAATGCAAAAATTTCAAAAGAGGGGTGGTCAGCAGGGACAGGGAGGTGATTGTCCCCCTCTACTCTGCTCTTGTGAGGCCCCATCTGGAGTACTGTGTCCAGGTCTGCAGCCCCCAGTACAAGAAAGACAGGGAGCTGTTGGAGAGGGTCCAGAGGAGAACCACAAAGATGATCAGGGGACTGGAGCACCTCCCCTATGAAGACAGGCTGAAGCAGCTGGGCTTGTTCAGCCTGGAGAAAAGAAGGCTGCGTGGTGACCTCATTGCAGCCTTTCAATACCTAAAGGGAGCCTACAAACAGGAGGGGAATCAAGGGTAGATAAAAGGGTAGATAACAGCAGGATGAGGGGAAATGGTTTGAAGTTGAGGGAGGGAAGATTTAGGTTGGATGTCAGGGGGAAATTCTTTACTAAGAGAATGGAGAGGTGCTGGAACAGGCTGCCCAGAGAGCTTGTGGATGCCCCGTCCCTAGAAGTGTTCAGGGCCAGATTGGATGGGGCCCTGGGCAGCCTGGTCTAGCATTAGGTGGGAAGGTTGGTGGCCGTGCCTGTGGCAGGGGTTGGAGATTCATGATCCTTGAGGTCCCTTCCAACCCTGGTTATTCTGTGAGGTGTGAAGAAGAGGTGTAGGGTAGTGGGTGGCGCGTTATTAGCCGCAGACCTTATTGTGAAAATGCCAGATGGCTGGCTAAAATCTGAGCTCACAGTGCAAGGTGCCGTACAGAGATTATGAAAGTGCTTAGAGCTTCTCAAAAGGAAGATAGTATAGGAATGCCAAGCATTGGCTATTTTTAAGAGCTGCATGCCACTGAGATCCCTGCACTGCTTTCTCTAAATGTTTAATGGTTTTTTTTGTTTCTGCAGTTCATTACTGTGAATTTCACTGTAGAGCTTAAACTTCGTAGCCTGAACTACATACATCCTCCTAAAAAGATGGTTTGTTGTTTTTTTTAGTCCACGATAACTGCAGAGCTTGATCAACTTTTTTTGTTTGCAGACGGCAGTTATCACCTATGACTACCTCACCTCCCTTCGCAATGTCCCGTATGGATCAGAGGAATATGACTTCCTCAAATCACAGGTAGGTTTTACTACTGAATTGTGTTCCTTGGAAGCTCTTTGAGGCACAGGTGTGTTGTCAAAGCCATTGCCATAAAACAAGCTATCGAGCGGTCAGCTTAATGATTCAATATACCTTCAACCAAACTGTTGATAACTGCAGAGACAGACTGTGGAGCATTCTGGATAAGAGTCAGGCAATACCTGCTTTGCTGAATGGAGAAGTTCCTTTGTCAGGAGGAGGCACATGCAACTGGTGCTTGCTTATGCCTGTTAGAGATTGAAGTTCTTATTATATGCGGTAAGATGTGTTTGGGCCCTGTTACCAGATCCCTGTGCCTGGAGTGGTTGTGTGGAGGTCAGGAGCAGAGAATGGTCTGGCAGTGGTTTTTTATGCTGTTTATCCAAGCATATAACACTTGAAGGCTGAGAGATTTAAGTAAAAGCAGAGTCTTGGACAGGAAATAATAGGGATATGAATTAGGCCTGTCAGTTTTTCAGGAAGTCAGAGGTAATTGGCCAATGATGCACCTCACTAAGACTCTATTTTGTTGTGTTTTGATATAGCTAACTAATGTGAATAGAAAATGTATTTCTAGTGAGAAGTATATGAATCCCTGTTGCTCCTCTGAGACCTTTGCTGCACTTTTCACTCTATCCTGCAGTTGTAGAATATCTTGATCTGTGACTGATGCTAAGTTTTACTTGTGTGTATAGTGCAGCCACTGTCTCTCTTCTACTCAAGCTCAAGGCTGAGTTGGAGTGAGAAATGTTGTCTACACCAAATTAGACAAGTCTGTGCAGTACTTTTAAAATAAGATATTTAACTTTTTCTTCTTAGTACATACAGGGTGTGGGCAACTAATGTGGTGGAAATGCATGGGGTAGTGCTTTCCAGGGACTCAGACCAGAGGAGCTCTAAATCTACACAGCAGTAGGCCTGGCTTGTGGTTGAGCATTGGGCTCCGTTTCCTGCATCATACCAAGGCGTGTGCCAGCCATACTGGTTCAGACCTCATCCAAAATTAGAAATCAATGACATTTGGACTTAAGCATGCTTTGGGTTCTTCTGGCAGAAAATCCACACCAACAGCCTGGTCTTAAAGAGTATTCAGGATGGTTTATGGAGCAGCTTCTCTAGGCTTGTTCTCATCCTCTCCTATGTAAAGATGTTAAGCTGTTCTGTTGTAGTGCTTCATCCGAAGTGAGCAACACTGATACCCTGACATAAACTAAGGATGGGCTTGTTGGACTCCTGAGCTTTGCTTTCCATCTGTCCATGTTTCTGCCATTTGCCTTTGAAACGTGGTTTGCAGAAGGGCTGCTTGTAGCTTTCTTGGACAACAACCAAGTTATGGAGTCATCAGTACTGTGGACAACTTATTATTTGGCAGCTTTTCGTAGCAGCCCTTGCAAATTCCTAACCTTTTGCTGTATGTGTCCATGACTTCATTAACCTCTGTCATGCAGGCTTCAGTGGTTTGTCAATTCATGCCCTTGCAGCTGGTCCAGGCCCTGTTTGCTGGTGCTGCTCAGAGCTGTGCTCTCCCTGCGTGGCAGCCAAGGCTAGCTGAGTCAGCATCTGTCTGTGGCAGAGTGAGTGGCTCAGTGGCGTGGCCAGCACTAGCCTTTGGCTGCATGAAGAGGAACGAGAGGGGAGATGGAGAGGAGAGAGTAAATGCAGACATAGTGTGAATTGGCAAAACTCTTTGACCTGTGAAGGTCTGTCCTCCTGTTGGCAAATGTTTAAAAAAAAGTTTGTTGGTCTGGAATCAGCTCAGAAGAGGGTGGTATTTAAGAAGTTGATTCTAAAGCTTAGATACTGGATGAGACTAGGAGAACATGAATCCTCCTCCCAAGTGTTCTGTGTAAGGATAGTTATCCAGATGTTACTTGTACCTGCCTCTTGATAGATCTTTGGTGCTCTTGGCCATGAATTGCATTCTTTTATCTTTCTGTCCTTTCAGTGAAGCCAGGTGAACTTCCTTTCCATAAGCTAAGTTTGGACTTTCCTTTTAAACATGTGCGTGAGTTGGTTACTGATTTCCAGCTTTTTTTTTTGTGCTGTGCTTACAGCAGAGTTTCTTTGAGGCTTGGGCTTAGTGACCCTGGGACTGTGGATAGTACCAGCAGGTCTGGGTGCAGCTACTATGCCTCTCCTTCTGGTGATGGGATCCATGCAGCTGCATTCATGTCTGAGATGGGGATATATCTCGTGAATCAGAAAGGACTACCTTCTGTGTAGCTTGTCCTGGTACTCAGTATACTGGTGGGTGCTGCTTGAGTGCAAATGATAGTACTTAACTCTCCTCAGATTCCCTGTCAGCCATTAAACTGGGGCCTCTAAATTACCCACAGGGTAATTTAGATGGGAGATGAGAAGCTTCGGTGGCAGCACCAGTCCCTAAGCCTGTTGGGGTGAAACAGGGGCATAGTCATTAGGAAGCAATTAAATGCAAATCAGATTAAGAAGGAAGTGGGTTCCTCAAGGGCTTTTAGTCAAGTTCCTGCTTAGCTCCAAGGAAACCTCTTCAATCTTACTCTATTTTTCTGTCCCTCATGGGCCACTTTGATGCTAATGTTCTCAGCTAGTCAATTCTAAGCATCTTTTTATGGTCAGTAGATTGGTGAAGTATTTGCTACTTTCTACAGGGCAAGAAGCAGTAGCTGGAATTTCACTGTGTGTCCCTGGGATTGGTTCTATCATTTATGCATCTGTGTGTTTCCCAGCAGCCACAAGATGTGAGGAGCCATCTTCCTGAAGGCACTCATAGTCCTTCTTCAACAGTAGTGAGAAGGGAGTCTTACCTCTTCCATTGCTGCTGCTTTCTGTAGCAGGGATGAACCTGCTAAAGCAGTCAGACTATGTCCATAACATTGGTTCCTTCAACTCATCACTGATGTCTGGACAACCTGAAATAGAAGTTCTTTTCTGGCCTGTCTGCCCTTGCTCTGCATATGAAGATATTGCCACGATACTGATACCAGGGCCAGTAGTAGCCAGGGTTAGATTCAAGTGTTAGATATCTGTAGGTCTAGTGTCAGAAAGATTTTGGGAAGGTACAAGCTTTCTTCAGTACGTGCCTTTTCTATTAAATGGTTCCAACCATTTTTGCATGTATGAGCTCGGACATCTCTTTCTGTTCCTGCCTCTGGTTGTATGGAGAATCAGAGGAAGCATGAGGGTACAGTGCACTTTCCCAGGTGGGATGTTTCTTATCTATTCCTTTCTCAATAAACAATTCTATTATGTGAAGGGCTACATTTCTTTGATATTCCCCTGCCTCCTTGAGCAGTTGTTTCCTCAGTCCTGAGTCAGCCTACCCTTTGACATTTCCATTGTTCCTCTCATCATAGCACCTGGATGCCTTGTTTGACGCTTCCTATATTGCTGGCATCAATTTCAGTTGATCCTGCTGTCAGGAGGTATCTCACAACATGTTTGTTAAGAACTGGTGTCAGTGAACTTCAAAGTTATCATCATCAGAGTAAGAGGATTGCAGTGGGTTGTTGCATCTATTGCAAATGTCTACACTACTGATCATAGCTGAAAATCTTGAGCAGGGCATTTGTTTTTGTCATTTTACTATGTGAGGCAGAAGTTAATGCTGCAATTGTGGCTACAGATTTTTTTTTTAAACAGGAGGTAGCAAGGAGAGAGGATTTTTGGTTAAGGTGTCTCTGGAGACGGTAAGAATCCATTCTTGAATTAACTTTGTTGGCAATAGAGTTGCTTTGTCAGGAAAAAGCCATTTGGGGAGGTTAATTAACTTCCTCCTTCTGAGAACAGAGTGTGGATGTTCTCATTCAGGCTCTTGGTTATTGGGCTTTCAGTATCTGGACAAATATTTTGAAGGTGTAACCTTGTGACCTTGTGCCATTGTTAAACAGAACAGTATTTCTTGTTTCTTCAGAGTTATTATGGCCATATGTCATATTTGTTTCTCATGGTGTGTATTTTGGAAAAAAAAAAAAGTCTCACAGTGATGTTGCCTGACTGAAGGACCCTACCACCCAGGTAAGAAAATGGGTGTTTCCGTGTATGTTTGGTTGTTGTTTTTTTTTAAATATCATACAATTTCTGATAGCTCAGACCAGCAAAATACCTGTGTCTGTGGCCTTCCACCATGATCTAGTAATACTGTGTGTCTTTATAGGAAGAAATATACTAAAATAGTTTCTTCACATTGGATATAGACTGTGCTTGCAGAGAAATGCCTGGGAGGTCTCCACAGCAATCCCTCAAACTGACAGCTCTGTGTGGGGACCAGGGGTTGTTCTGCACCACAGCTGGTGCATGCGCTGGTGGTTCTCTTTGCCTTCAAACTGTGGTGAAAAGGCTGAGAAGAATGAAATTCCATAGGAGACATGGAGTAGCTCTTAGGTGGTAGTGACTTTCTGTCAGCAAGCTAAATGGGAACCAGTAAGAGAGAGAAAAAACTCCGCAGCTCGTCTGTGGTGTCTGAGCTGATAATGTTAGGTTGCCCCATGCTTGTTCTCCCAAGGACGTATCTTCATCTAAATGGAATGATGGACAGTAATACAGCCTAAAAAAAGCCACTAGCAGAACCAGCTGTTGCCTTGATGACTCCACTTCCAAGTGCTTCTATCTAGCAAACTTTCTGCCAACACACAAAGCATGAAAGCTTTGCACCAGAAACACATAACACACAGCACTAGCTGTAAAATAGATCTTAAAATTTTAAGACGCTTCCTTTTCCTCCTCCTATTTTCTAGAGTACAATGTTATGGTCACAGCATCTCTAGGTTTTAATTTTGTAGTGTGGAAGGTCCATTTTGGGATGACTGCCTACAAAGCAGGATGTCCTTCAATTCTCTGCACGGGTTTATTTAGAGAAATAGGCCATCTCACTGTGGTGTTTTTGGAGAAGGAGAGAAGTGAGGGGAAATAATACCTAATTCATTGCACTTTTCTTGCTGGCTCAGCACTCTCATCCCTGAAGTGCCTCACAAGGAGCATGAGTGTTGAGTATCAGGTATGCTGCTGATCTGCAAGGATTG